GTCACAGGAAAGGGTTGTGCTATAGGTAATACAGTAATGGGAGGGGGGTGATTAGGGGTTCATATGCTATTGGAAGAGGAGGGATTGGGGGTATACATGTGACAAGGTGAGCAGACCCTAGATTCAGGATGGCGGCCTAACTTTGGATGTCACTGAGCAGGTTTGACCTGTTCTCTGGCTCACTATAGAAACCATTATCAGTAGGATATAAACCTCATCTATAGGGACCAGACTGCTGGCTGCAAGCCTTTAGAGAGGACAAGTAGCCCATTGTCCTTAACACCAGGGAGTGGGCCCCTCTTGTGGTGGGACCAGACAATAGTCTGGCAGCTGACTGCTTTCAGAGAGGTAACTTGACAATCATTTACCATTAGTTGCAAGCAGAGTCCTAAGTTTAACATATATTTGGGGGAGAAGACTTGGGAGAAATCTTTCTGTTTCACACATGAGGCAAATCAAACAATGAGATAACACCTTATACCTAGGTGAAATTAAAAAAAAGAGAAACCAAAGAATTCTGGAGATATTAGCCCTGATCGCAAAATTATTTTATTTTTTTTTTATTGCACCAAATGTGTCTTATTTTTAAAAGCTGCCCTATGGAGATGATGACAAGTGTGTTAGTCAGAGAACTTGTCTGCAACCATTCACTGACTGCAGAGATATGTTTAAACATGTTTTTGTGGGGTTAAATTTCTGCATGTATGAACTGCAAACTGACTAGCAACATTTTTTGACTTATTGTTATATATTAAATTGGAAAATATTGAAAATATTCACTGCAATATCTACTTGAAAAAAATTAAAGTATGTATTAATGAAAAATAGAAAGGATTACATGGTGTTATCTAGTGTGTAGAGAATTTAGATTATTTTTACCTGCATTTAACGTTTTTTATAGTTTATCTATATATAAAAGGGCTAATAAAAGAAAAGGATTTTTTTCCGAAGCTATGTATTTAAATTTTTTTACAAAACAACCTTATCACCTTCAAAGTACTCTCCATTACACTTAAAACAGTTGCCAAACCTGCAATTTCATTCTTCAAAACATTTGTCAAACTCATCGGTTTGGATGGCGGAGAGCACCTACCCCACTTTTTTTCTTCACCTCTTCTATGTTGTCAAATTGCTGTCCTTTTATGTCCCTCTGCATTCAAGGAAACCAAAAAGCAGCACAGAGCAAGGTCAGATGAGTAAGGTGCATGGGGCAAGAGGGGCATGCTGGGTTTTTTTTGCCAAAACCTGCTGCACTGAGATGGCTGCGTGAGCAGGTGTATTGTTATGATAGAAAAACCAGTCCCCCACCTGCCACAAATCAGGCCTTTTTTGTCACACAATTTTATGCAATCTTTTCAGAATTTCTGAATAGAAAGCTTGATTGACAGTTTGACCTGGTGGAACGAACTCCAAATGCACTACAAGTTGACATTTTCATAAGTTCAGGAAGTTGATGGACATCCAGAATGAGGTTTATCATCAATTGGCATTTCACCTTTTTTGAAATTAGAAAACCATTCATACACTTGACATTTTTCGTAGCGCTGTCCTTGTAAGCTGTGTTCAACGTCACAACAGTTTCT